AGTAACCAAAGCTTGAGCAAAAGTACAATATTTGTCTCCAAATGTATTTAAGTATATAGGTATAAAATGTAAATTCTCAAGTAAAAGTGGCTAAAAATTGTACTAAGGTACAGTACTCGTGTAAATTCACATAGTAACATCCCATCACTGCTGGTACAAATACAATCTATCCGGTGACTGATTATCAAATCATCTTTCCCCCATCATCTGCTCAATATGTTCACAAAAGCAGAAAAATAACCCCTCTGATCACCCGTTGCTATAGCAACTCCAGCTTGAGCACTGTGATGCTACAAGGCCATGGATGTCGTTGTGATATCAGGCGCTTGCAGTGAAACAGCACAGTCTGTCTGTGACCAAAAGTAGTGGGGACGCTGGACCGAGAGGAGATAAAACAGGCATTACAGCCAGGACTGACAGGAAGAACTCGCCCTTCTGGAGCTGGGTGTCAGTGAGTCGATAAATAACTCTACTGTACGAACATGTCTCAGACCACATGTCCGCTGTCCACAGAGGAAGAAGTGATCCGTGAAATCACAGCCTGTCCACGGTTACAGAGACACGATGAGGGTACAAACTTTTACCCATAGTGCAAAAAATGGCCATCCAGGTGACGGATCCCCAGCTGTCTCTCCTGCCCCTCAAACGTTAAGAGCTCACAGCTGAGTCGCATTGAGCCATAACTACGGCTCGCTTCATTACCTCACTGATAATGTCGTGACACGAGACAAAGTGATTGACTGCAACACATCAGGCGTTGATCTGTTAACACTCTTCTACAGTTCCCAATCACTTACGCACTGCCAATTTTGTCTTGTTAATACATTTCGTCCAGTCTACTGTACAGTATATTAAAGCATTACTTGCTTTTTTGTGCTACAATTATCATTAAAGCCCGTATAAATGGCATTCTCTCATGAAAACATACTCCCGCTTTGCTCCCTGAATGTTCTGATTGGCAGTGTATCTATATGTCCCTAGGGTTCCAGCTCACCAGTTCCTCAGTTTGACAGGTTATCAAGTCCTTTTAAGGGGTTTTATGTTCTCTGCAATTTCCATTTCCAATTATGTCGACTGCTCAATGTACGTTTCAATGGCTCATTTATGTTGAAATCACTCACCTACAGTTTATAGCATTCTGATGTAGCCTGGTCTCCAAGAAAATGATGTAACCATACAACGACGGTGAATTGTGAACTACATTTTGCACACAAAAACATATTTTGTGTGCAAAATGTAATTCACATCGTATGGAGGAGGTTGGGGATAATGGATTGGTCGAAAGTTAAAGGTAGGGTAGGTAAGAATGGAGAAACCAGCTCGAGTGCGCTAGAATTTGAAAATCTGCCCCTTCCTTCAGACTTCCTTACAGAGCCCCTCCTCCAACACACACGGACGCACACATGACCAATGAGGGGACGAGATAAATTTGTGCACGAGATGGAAGGCTGACAGGCAGGTAGGCCATCCAGTTATTTTAGCCGGGCCGGCTCAGATGATTGGTTGTGCTTTTTACAGCGCTACGGCTTCCACAGATGACATTTTTTAATGTATTTATTGTCAAAGCATTTCATATATTCATTGCTATCGGGATGTTAAGAGCATTCCATGGAATATAACAAAAAGTGTTTCTGAAGTGAATTACCTACCCCACCTTTAACATTGCCTTTTTTAAATTAAAACATCGATATCATAAAAAACTGTTCTTATTTTAAGCCAGGCCATGGGATTCTACTGCACATTAACACGGTTTGTTGCGTTATCCACGTGTTAAAAACATGTGTTTAACCTTGTGTTTAAGTGTTTGAAACTGCATCCATAATCTGCGAGTAATTGTGTTGCATCGGAACGTCCTTTTGTAGGAGACAGGGTAAGCTGACACTTTACACCTTAAAACCTACGCCTTCAAATGTTCAGCATGACAGCTTTCTTGACTTTGACATTGATATCTCAAAGAAGCTAAATTGGTTTAGTCTCCATTCATTCTTACGCAATTTGTACTGTGAATAATCGCCATTACTGATCTCTTACAACAAGCACCCTGAACATGGGGATGATGACCCCGTTCTCCTTTATATAAAACAATACAAAAAATAAGTACTAAGTCCAACTCATTTTCCATCTCTTTAAACAGGTGAACACATCGGTTACTTTTAAAGAACACTGTCCCCAAATTAAGACTCAATCAAAAGTATCAAATAAGCTTTTGTTAAAGGTAGAAGAAAACATTGACAGCGATCTCATGCCAGTTTGTACGGCTGATAACCCTTAAATTGAGAGCAAGGGGAAACAGCTAGCCAGTCTCTGTAAAAGGTAAATAACTTGGTATATATTTTTTATTTAAACACACAAAAACTACTGTTTGTTTTTACAGAGCTACGCTAGCTGTTTCCAGTCTCATGGTTAGCTACTGTAAGCTAACAGTCTCCTGGCTCCAGCTATATATTTTCTTAAAACTTTCATCAAGAAAGCCGAAGTCAAGCAGCACCATTGAGCCCCTTAGGTAACACATCAAAGATCTACACATATTCAGAAAACCTGTTCCCCTGAAGTTGTGTAAGCAGCATGAACATAATTCACTGCCCCTCAGAAATGAGCGACCTCACTGTGCTACGTTGCTTTTCCTCCACTCCATCGTGAGAGTGACCGAGCCTGGCGAGCGCATCGTGAGCAGCTGAAGAAGAGGCATGATCTCAATTGGCAGGAGCTGTAAATGGCCAGTATGGCAGCTTGGCTTCTCTCAGCGGCTGCAGATGGCACCCAGCGACACTGGGTCAAAGTTCTGTCAGCGCCCCGACAAAAATACCTCTTCTCGGGTGGGCGGGTCCGTCTTCACCTGCCTCAGCAGATTTCAGAACATGTGGTTGAGGAGGCAGCAGTGTTCGGGGTAAGGATGCACTTCTGTTTGCAGGAGGTGACTTAACAGAATGGCAGGGACACAAATTGTAAAAAGAAATAGCGAGCTTAATGTATAATGCTTTCAGATCTTATTGGAAAACTTCATATCCCAGTTTCTCCACTATGAACCCAATCATTTTGACCTTTGATTTCATCGTAGTGAACATATGTAGGGCATCGTACAGTATCAGTCACATTGAGCGAAAACCATCTGCTCCCCAGTGTCTCAATCCATGAGCATCCTCTGTTTTCACTTCCCAATTTTATGTATATGTTTCCCCTTATGCTTCAGTTACGACGTGTGTGGACATGTGCCCCCCTGAGGGTCTGGAGAAATCGTACAATGTTAGAGCAGGAATTAATCTCCAAGAACAATTAGACGCAGCTGTGGATGCTTCATTTCACAGTTTAGAGGGATGACTTACCCAAATTACAGAAATTCTCACACACTGCTTGGATTCAAACAATGCTAATTCTGGTTTTATTTTCCCAAGGTTTTAGAGATCCATCACTGAGAATTCTTCCGCCACAGCAGGACAGATTTTAATTGAAAAAAGCCCTCCTAGAAAATAGTGATTAGAAAATATTTTTCTTGAAAGAGGATGAATCTGTTGATTTAAAAAGAAAATCAAATGTTCCGAAGCTGAAAGCTCCAGCTGTGAAATCACCCTTAAGAGGACATATGCTAATTTCCAAGTTCATATATGGGCTGCAGCGCCTCTTTTCACCCTCTGTCTGAAACCAGAGCCCAGTCTGCTCTGATTGGTTAGCTGGCCGGCGCTGTTGTTATTGGTCACTGCTGTCCCCCCCCTTAGCCTATCACGTACAATGTGTTGGAGTGCTATAGCCAATAGAAACGCAATTGTTACACAGTGATGTCACTACGTTAGGAAAGTAAACAAAGGAGTCCAATGGAGGCGTTTCAGGAGGGGAGTGTGTGGGAGAAAAACTCCCTCTGGAGGGAACTTTGGGATTTTAGCCTTTGCAGAACATTTACATGCACACAAACCTATAAAATACACTACAGGAAAGGGAAAACTCCAAAAAATGCACAACAGGGCTTCTTTAAATAAAACAATTATTGGATAAATTCAAAATAAATGATTTCTTCAAATCCAATCTACAGAGCTTCTAACTGATAAGTATTTTATATGAAAAAACTTCCATTCATTTTTTTTTATTACTTGCCCAGTGTCCAAATGTATCTATTGTCTGAGAAAAGAAAGAGCAATAGAACCAATCTGACAGCCCAGGATGGCAGTAAAGCAGACGGTGAAAGCGTAAACCTTGTCTCTTCTTGTTTTCAATTTATTATATTAATAAAATAGTGTCTAGTTTCCTGGTGAGCACTGGTTCTTTGATTTCCTTTGGTTTACCCTTCACCAGCTGGCACTCAGGAGGGAACCACCGCTGTGCACTTTCAGTTTCCTGCCAGTCCTGTGTTGAGCTGCTCACAGTCAACATTCAGAGCTGCTTTAAAAGAGTCTATTGCAGCCAGGCTGATAATATGATACGATATGATATACATTATTTACCAATAAGACATTGCAGGACTCAGTACCTTCAGTTCCAGGATACAAAAAAAGGTACCTTACAGTTACATGAACAAATAAGGGTATGGATATTTTGGAGGGATGGATGTTTTTTAACCCCCATCATTTTAAAAGTATCGCGTTGATATGAAACTATAGGCACATTATGATGTCAAGTATGTGCAAACTTTATGTCACACAGCAAATGTCTTTCATGTATCTCACATATTCCATCCATTTGAGGTAAAGTGAATAAAATAGGCTACTTAGATTCATCTTTAAACTATATTTTGCTGCACAGGTTAAAATGGCTTCAAAGTGAGTACAGGTGCATCCTCCCTCCACTATATGCTGAATTACCGCACGCTGATACAAACAGACCTTATTAGTTGGATTTGTTCGCGCTCATTATCTGACCCTCTCCTCCTGCGCGCGCTGTCCTATCCGCTGTGCGCTCTGGACACTAAACACCCCCCCCTCTCCTCCCCCTCCTCCCCTCGCCTCCTCCTCGCGCAGAGCTCGACGCGCACAGGCACAACAGATGTTACAGTACTACAGGCTGCAGGAGCGCAAGAATTTGATGTAGAAGAAGAAGTACTTTAATTTAATCTGCCTTAAACTTCACAGGAGCGGTTAATGTTACCGGAGTAGGGGGGGTTCTCCGAGGACAAAACTCGACTTTCACAGTCACTGGATCCTATACGTTCAGAGGCGCAATTTGGTGTCAAGGTAAGTTGTGATGTTTTCTCAATACAGCCGATCTGATTTCAAAATGCACAAAACTCGATCAATTACAAAAAACCCCGCTGTTGAAGCATTTTATTCTATCCATAAGTTTGTTACATAATGTCACAGGATAAAGAAGAATGGCTTGATGCAATATCGCGTCAATTACAGCCTAGATCTTAGAGTGACACCATTTGCGTAAAAATAAACCTGTTTTTATATTAGAGATGTGCAGTGTATTGCAACAAAAACTAATCTAAAGATATTCACTAAAGCATTCATTGATACAAATTGAGACTAACTGTGAGATTTAGTTTTTTATTGTCAAACTTTTCCAGTTGCAGCATTACTGTGGGTATGAATTATGAATGAATAGAGACATCGGACCCTAATTATCCTAAATTCTTACAGCACTAATAGTATTTCAGCTTTCATGGACTGTTCTAGAAGTTTATACAACATCCTCATCTCCTGTATAAGTGCTGATGCTGCAACTCTGTGGGGAAGCTGAAGCCACTTTGAGGCAATATTCTAACATATTAGGATAAGTGACTTATGGTGAGCCTCCTACAGGGAACAACTTATAATACAGTCATGTCAAAGGTCAGTAATGTTTTCTGGCATTATCTACAATGGCCGGGGTTAAAGAAGACTTAATAAAACCTCAGGCATGCTTTTATTTCCCATCAGTGGCAGATCAAAACCTAAAACCTCATTATGTAAATTGAATACCCTTTTAACTTCCCGTCAAATGTGTAATTTCCAGTGGGTTTTTCGAGGTTAACGGTCATCAAATGCAACATGCACTTATGAGCTCTGGAGACATTCAAATGATTAAGCTTTTTGGAAATGTGCCAAAAAAAATACATGTGTTTTGCATTCTTCAAATGCTTCAGATCATGAGGAATAACTCACGTCACCATCAGCATGCAGGGGAAAGATACGGTTTTTACTGTAAGACACTGACACTAATCTCTCTGAACTCTGGCATGCTCCCGTCCTCACAGGAACATTAGAGAGCACTATGACATTTCCTTCTAGGATTTAATGAGACTTAGAATAATCAAATCCCAATCTGCCTCATGACATTAATCATTATTAATCTTCCATTTAGATATAAGGGCAGGTCTTTTACCTTTGGATTTAGCCAGGATGAAAAGTCAAACATGGAGGCATTTAGACTATTATAGGTAAATGCCACTGGTCCATATGTCACATCCATAGGGCTGTTTAAGATTAGGGATGCGTGCAGGGGTCACCAGTGAGCTGTATGTAATGATTTGCTGAGTCCCAGAAGGGGTCCAGACCCGCGGTGGACCCCAGGTGGCCCCCAGGTGGCCCCATAGCAGCAGTAGATACAGGAAAGTGCAGCAGATTACCACATAGCCTCGCAATCTGCACACAATTAGATCCCCGGGGCTCGAACTTTGTGTTGCATCTGCTCTGGAGTCTGTGTGCGAGCTGCCGGCACGGTGCAGAACTGTGAGGAGGACATGTGAGGAGTGCTTTTCAAAAGTGTGACTGCAGATGTACAAATGTGTGAATGCTGGTGGAGTAATTTGAATAACAGGGATAAATAAATGGAAGTAAATGACTCATAGGACAGTTGAGTACAGTTATCCCGTATAGCTGTGGGATCAATAAGGATCTATGCTTTCTCTAGAAGCACTGAATCAATATTCAATTCTTTTGGTTGCTCCTTTTTTAGCCGATAACTCGACAAATGTGTAATTTTGGTCATAGTCGACAATGATTTCTATAAGTCATTTTTTTCATGAAAACTAACTTATTTCCAAGAAAATTAGGCAACTACAGCATTTAAAGTGCTGCTTTTGCATTAGCTTTTGTGGAAGAACTACGTTTTACAGATATTTTATCAATTTGTTGACATATTTGATGATTGTTCATCATCTAAGAATTTCTTTAGCCTAGGATAGCCCTTGTTTTATTACTTCATGCGTTCACTGGTCCTGCGGTTCTTTTAAAACGGTACAATAAATATTCCAGTACCCTTTGTCTCTATGATATTACACAAATATTTCTCCTCTCCCTTGTTGAGCCTTTTTTTCTGCTCATTAAAATTTTAATGGGAGCTTTGAGTGCCCTCATACGCTGATGCTGCTGTGTAAGAGCCGCATGATACACTTCCCGTGTCCTCTCACATAGAAAAGTATGCTGAGCACCTGATCAAAACACACACTGAGCTGCAATATAAGGCAATACATTGGTACACACTACAGCGCAGATATCATGCGGAGGGCCAGAGAGATTATCCAATATCTGAGATGAGTCTACTTTTCATTTATCAAATACATTCTATACAAGCGGAGAGACTGTGGCTGCAGCGAGGCGATTCATTTGAACTTTTATGTGTCAGTCTTTGTGTGGAGGCAGGGTCATTTTCTCTGTGGAGATTGAAGTACATATTTGGACACTAAAAGCACAGGAATTGTGATAGGGAGGAGGCGGTGCTGCTGCTGCCATTATCGGAGGGTCAGAGGTGCTCCCAGTCCGCTATTTCTTTATATTGTTGCCTGTGTTGAGAGGAAATAAGAGTAGCGGCCCTTTGTGTATGAGTGAGGGACCCGTATTATACAAGAGAAGGGAGTGTATTGACTTAAGTCCAAGACAACATCCTTCAAGTGTGTAAGGGTTAGATCTAAAGTTAATAAGAAAGCACTGGCTATTTTATGAGGACTGCATAGTGTGTGGACTGGTCCCTCGCTTTGAAGAGGAGAATCAAAAGAGAGAGCGGATACTGCAGAGGCTGGCTGCTGTATCGACTTATCATAACACTCATAAATAAAGATTGTTATATATTTCTGTCTTTGTTTTCAGCCGAACAGGCTGAAAACAAAGACAGAAATATACAGCATGGGAGGAAACTAAACAACGTGATACATGCTTGCTCATTCTCAAACAGCCTGCAGATGTATTCCGTTTCATAATTGTGATGTCATGCAAAAGTATGAATGTGATGCCTTACGGCCCCTACACACGGCGGCGTGCGTTGACGCTTCAACGCTTCTGCCCATTCACTTTGAATGGGGTGACGTCACGATTCGCCGAACTGCATTCTGGGAGCAAAGCGTAGCTTTTCTCGCGGTGCTCGCGGCAAAAGTAGAGCAATGTTCTACTTTTGAAGCTGAGGCGGAGGCGTCAGCCAATCAAATCCCGCGTATGCAAATCTGACAGTTCAAGCGCTAGCCAATCAAACCGCGTGTATGCTGGGAGAGCCAGACTGCAGTTCATTTCCGCATATGCCAAAAAATGGAGGAGAAAATAATCGTAGCGGTAGGGAATCACCCGGTGCTTTCAGTCCCTGTTCACCTACCGGGATACAAACCGGAGGAGCCAGGCATGGAGGGAGGTGGCAGAGACAGTGGGTGAAACTGGTAGGTTTTCGCCTGTTTGGGGAGTTTATATCCAGTGTACTTCGTTTGAATGGACAGCAGGCATAGCCAGTATATTTAGCCACCATGCAATGTTGCATAAAATAGCACCATAGACATTAATTAAAAATCGCTTTTTAGACATTAATGTCTATGGTGAGATTCATACACGGGAGCCTTTTTAAAGCCTTTTTACCCCGCTGCAAACAGAAACCCCCCCCCTTCCCATCACAAACTTTACACAGACCCCCCCTTCCAATTATCAACTCCTGTCTTGTTTCCGCAAACTCTTGTGTCCTGCAGCAGCTAAACGTTTTGCAAGCCCCCGTTCGTTTAGTACCTAAAATAATAGACATCGCTTTTTCCAGCTGACAAACCTGACTTTCTGGTCACTTCTTCAATTTTCCAGACCTTGGGGAGAGACACGGGAGATTCATGTGATTGGTTGTTCGTCGCGTTGCTCGCGTAAACTCCCCAAGCTCAAGACACGCCCACCGCCAAGCGGCAACGCACGCCGCCGTGTGTAGGCTGCGTTACAGTAAATACGAGTTTCTGCTCAGCCTGTAAACTAAATAAATCCCGTAGACGTTCAGCACTACATAAGTTCAAGGCTTTAACCATTATCTCTGATTTAGGGTGGGATATTTTTTATTTATGGTCTGAATTTGATGACTCTCCACGTTTTATTGCTGCTGCTGTCCACTCATCAAAGCCGGGCCGGGCGCTGTCCTCGCATGACTCAAGCAGCCGAGCAAGAAATAAGTGACACCATGAAGACAGAGACAAACTGCAGCAACACTCTGGTTATTTTTTGTACACTATCTCCATTAGGATCAATATGGTGCTGTGAGCATTGAGTGAGAGTAAAATGAGGGGGTGGGGGGGGGGTGGGGTCTACGATGAATAAATCCTGCAGTCATACCTGTAGCAGCCGCTAAGAAGCGGTGCCATGCAACATCTGACATTAAGCTGCTAATCTCAACATGAAAGAGAAGATGCTCCCCTTGGTGACGGAGATGATGGATGCATTAAAAGTGAGCATGCTTAACGTGAAGCGTATGCATACATTACTGCTTGATTGTCAACATCCTCGCAATAAGAGCTCATTCATTCACAAAGTGGTTACTTATGAATAATGTGTGTCAGTTTACTTCACTGCCTCGACACAAAGGCATCACTCAGATCCCTATTTCATCACAACCCTCATGGCAGACAATGATGAAAATGATTCAGTGTTCCCCATGGGTGGATGGTTTTAAGGAGACGCCAAATGAGGGAATGCATGTGAAGTCTGTAGTAGCCACAATCCCCCAAACTCCCCCCCGGGTAGTGTACAGTCAACAGTTCTGTAGAAAAATAGAGCTGTTGTGCAGTCAACTGTGCAAACAGATTTAGAGACAATGCAGGAAAAGGTCTTCCCAAAATGCACTCACACTCGATGCAGCAGTAGAGGAGATGTCATCTTTTTTGATATCATTGCATTACTGTTACTTGATGCTTGAACAACACATCTTCCAAACCACACCATCACAAAGTCTGTATGTTCCTAACCTCCTATACGACCAATGAGTGTGTACGTTAGAGTCCTATCTGTGGAAGGAGATCAACATG